TGAGGTAAGGTAGAATGTAGGAATAATTTTTCATTTTGTAGTCTGCCATTTTATTCAATTGATGGTATCTTTAGCTTTGCAGAAAAATTTCAGTTTCCTAGTGTTCCATTTATTAATTTTTCATCTTAGGTACTGAGATATATATGTTCTCTTCAGGAATCCATCTCCTGTGCCAATAGATTCAAGGCAGTTCCCTATGTTCTCTTCTATTAGATTTAGTGTGTCTGGTCTTACAATCTTTGATCCCTTGAGTTTTGTGCAGGATGAAAAATATGGGTCTATTTGCATTCTTCTACACGTACACATCCAATTAGACCAGCAACATTTGTTGAAGACGATTTCTTTTTCCATTGCATGGTTTTGGCATCTACGTCAAAAATGAAGTAGCTCTAGGCATGAGGGGTTATTTAAGAGTTTTTAATTCTGTTTCATTTTTTAACCTGTCCATTTGTATGGAAATACAATGCAGTTACTGTTACTATTTCTCTGTAGTATAGCTTGACATCAGGAATGGTGGTGATATCACCAGAATTTCTTTTATTTTTGTTTGTTAAGTTTTGTTTTTTAATTTTTATTTTTTTTTAGTTTTTGGATATTTTCTTTATTTACATTTCAAATGTTATCCTCTTTTCAGGTCTCCCCTCCAGCAACCCCAATCCCCTCCGCCTGCCTCTATGAGGGTGCTCCCTCACACATGCACCCACTCCTGTCTTCCTGCTACAACATTCCACAACATTGGGGCATCAGACCCCACAGAACCAAACTTGAATATCTGAGAAGCACCTAGAGAAATGTTCAACGTTCTTAGTCATCAGAGAAATGCAAATCAAAACAACCCTGAAATTCTACCTCACATCAGTCAGAATGGCTAAGATCAAAAACACATATGACAGCAGATGCTGGTGAGGATGTGGAGAAACAGAAACACTCCTCCATTGTTGGTGGCTTGAAAGCTGGTACAACCACTCTGGAAATCAGTCTGGTGGTTCCTCAGAAAATTGGACATAATATTACCTGAGGACCCAGTTATAAAACTCCTGGGCATATACTCCGAAGATGCTCCAACATATGACAAGGTCATGCTCCACTATGTTCATATCAGCCTTATTTATAATAGTCAGAAGTTGGAAACAACTGAGATGTCCCTCAACAGAGGAGTGGATACAGAAAATGTGGTACATTTACACAATGGAATACTACTCAGCTATTAAAAACAATGACTTCATAAAATTCTTAGGCAAATGGATGGAACTAGAAAATATCATCCTGAGTGAGGTAACCCAATCACAAAAGAACACACATGGTATGCACTCACTTATAAGTAGATATTAGCCCAAAAGCTCACAATACCCAAGGTACAATTCACAGACCACATGAAGCTCAAGATGAAGGAAGATCAAAGAGTGGATGCTTCAGTGTTTCTTAGAATTGGGAACAAAATACTCACAGGAGGAAACATGGAGACAAAGTGTTGAGCAGAGACTGAAGGAAAGGCCATCCAGAGACTGCCCTACCTGGAAGTCCATCTCATATACAGTCACCAAAACTATTGCTATTGGGGATGCCAGGAAGTGCTTTGTGACAGGAGACTGATACGGCTGTCTCCTGATAGACTCTGCCAGAGTCTGACAAATACAGAGGAGTCTCACAGCCAACCATTGGACTGAGCCCGGGGACCCCAATGAAAGAGTTAGGGGAAGGACTAAAGGAGCTGAAGGGGTTTGCAACCTCATAGGAAGAACAACTATATCAACCAACCAGACTCCCCAGAGCTCCTGGGAATAGAACCACAAACCAAAGAATATACATGGATGGATGCATGGCTCTGGCAGAGTATGTGGCAGAGGATTGCCTTGTTAGATATCAGTGGGAGGAGCAGCCCTTGGGTCCAGAAGTTCTTATATTGTACAAGATTATTTTCATCATCCTGGGCTTGTTGTTTTCCATGTGAAGTTAGAATTGCTATTTTAAGTTCTGTAAATAATAGTATTGGGATTTAGATAAGAATTCCATTGACTCGGTAGATTGTTTTTGTTAAGATGGCCATTTGTACTATATTAATGGTCCTGATCCATGAGCATGGGAGATCTTTCCATCTTCTGGTATCTTCCTCAATTTCTTCCGTCAAAACTTGAAGGTCTTGTCATATAGGTCTTTAACTTGCTTGGTTAGAGTTACCCCCAAGATGTTTTATATGATTTGTGGCTATTGTTAAGGTTGTTTTTTTCCCTAATATCTTTCTCAACATGTTTATCACTTGTATAAAGGAGGGCTACTGATCTTTTTGTTTTAGTTTAGTTTGTACCCAACTACTTTGCTGAATGTTTTTGTCAGCTGTAGGAGTTCCCTGGTACAATTTCTAGAGTATTTTATGTATACTATCTTATCATCTGCAAAGAACAATTCTGTTACTGCACCCTTTCCTATTTGTTTCCCCTTGATCTCCTTAACTGTGTTATTGCTCTACCTAGAACTTCAAGTGTTATGTTTTGTAGATATATAGAGTATAGACAGCTGTGTCTTGTCCCTGATTTTACTGGAATTGCTTTAACTTTCTCTCCATTTAATTTATGTTGGCTATTTCCTTGCTGTACATTGCCTTAATATGTTTAGTTTTGGACCTTGTATCTCCGATCTCTCCAAGACTTTTAACATAAAGGGAAGTTTGATTTGGTCAAACACTTTGTCAGCATCTAATGAGATGATCCTGCATTTTATTTTCTTTCAGATTGTTTTTATGGTGAATCACATTGTTGGATTTTTTTATATTGAACCATCACTGCATCACTTGGATGACACCCACTTGATCATGATGTTTGATGTTTGGTGTGTTCTTGGATTCAAATATTTTATGAAGCAATTTTGCATAAATGTTCAAAAAAGAAATTGGACTGAAATTATTTCTTTTTGAGGTTTTGTGTGTTTGGCTTAGGTATCAGGGTGAGGATACATAGTAGAGAACAGATAAAATTTAGACTAACTAGGAAAAAGTAAAAGTTCCAGGAATTAATATGTACCTTTCCATATTATGAAGGTAAAGGTCTTAACAGCATCCAAAACACTGAGTGGGGTAAAAGAGAAGACTCAAATCTGCTTTCTAAACAAGTACACAAAGAGAGCAAAATGATAAAAAAATAATATTACAACCAAGTAGAAATTAAAAACAAACAGAATAGCCTTTCTTTTATATGACACAATAGATTTCAAGATAAATTTAGTCAGAAAAGATAAATAATGCCAAACCAGCTAACCGATCAATAAAGCATGGCATTAAATATATATGTACTAATCTTTGATCCTCCCAACTTCATAAAACAAACATTGCTGGGATCAAAGAGACAGATAGGCCCATGTTGCAATAACGATGTGTAACATCAATGTCCTAGTCTTATTAAATAGAACACCTAAACCTACAAAGTCAACAAAGAAACATTAGATTTAAACTTTACAACACACTAAATGTACTTTATATAAATTCACAGAATATTCCATCTTATACCATTAGAATACACAGTCTCTCTGCAACCAGTGAACAGTATCTAAAATCAATCATCATGTAGTCTATGCAGTATTATATACAAAAATATTGAAATAGTTTCCTAAATATTATTGTTAAAATTATATAAACTATAAATCCACAGCAAAATTGAGAAAATACACAAAAATTTAGATTTAACAATACACTTTGAGAAGGAGATAATTAAAGAACTTTTAAAAACTAGAATTAAATAAAATGCAATTTAGGATCTACGGAATACAGCTAGAGTCTTATGAAAATAGAAGTTTGTGAATACTCATATCTGCATTGTTAAAAAACAATCATATATGTGAAATAAATACAACTCCTGAGTACATTCCAAAAGGATTCAAAGCTGGCATGTAATAACAGGGAAGTGATTCATAATACCAAATTATTGAATTAAGTCAGTTGCAATGCTTAGAAAGAATGAGTTAAAGATATACACATACAAAGTCAAATGTTATCCACATGCAAAATAAGTAATTTACAAAACATGGCTCGGACTAGAGATCATCCTGTTAAGCAAAGTAAGGTAGACTTAGAAAAATAATGTGGAATATTTTCTCATATGTGCTTTTGAGAGAGTGAAGAAATCAGAAGGGGAACTAACTGTTCAGGAAAGGGTAAGGCAATAATGAAAAGGAGAAAGAAGGATAACAGAGACTGGATTTTACCAAAGAACAGTAAATACATATATATAAAGTCACATTTAAAACTACTTTTTTATAATTCTTTTTTTTCTTTTCTTTTATTGGATATTTTCTTTATTTTCATTTCAAATGTTGTCCCCTTTCCTGGTTTCCCCTCCAGAAACCCCCTATCCTATCCCCTTTTTGACTGCTTCTATGAGGGTGCTCCCCCATCCACCCTTATACACCATCAATAAAGCAGTATTAAGCAAGAATTCATTCAAAATCATAAATATATCAAAACGACTAAACTTGATAAGCCATAAATAACAAGTGAAGCTGAGTTAAAAATAAATTATCATGTATATGTATCTTATTAAATGTACTTTTTGTTTTCTACACAACTATAAATTATGCTGCCTACATTAATTATTATTGTTATGATTATTAGCATCATTACTATTATTTTTCGTTTCTCTTTGTAGCTCTAACCATGCTGGAACACACTATGAACAACAGGCTGTGCTGCTGCCTAGGGTTACGATGATGTATATGGCTCATGCTACCGGAGACAGCCATGTTCATATCCTTGCTTTTTACTGCCAGTAACCAGAAGTCATGCTGAGCACCATCATCTTTGCTGATGCTGGAGACAATGAGGATGTCTGTGGTCTGTGCTGTAGCTAGAAACTACCTGGAAGTATGTGATCCATGATCCTGCTGAGTATAATGGGCAAGGAAGCTACATTTGCAGTGACATCTTTGCAGAAGTTCAAATGAGAAACAGAGACATAGAAAGCTCAAGTGGTAACTCCTAATCCCCCAAAAGCAACAGTCTAGACAAAAAGCCATAGAAGAGAATTCTTTAATATTGTGATAAGGATAATGAAGAGTAGCTCACCACAACAGATGGTTTCTTCAATGGGTGTGGGTGGAAAAGGACTCTATTTTTTTTTTTTTGTAAGGGACTAGCTACTGAAGTTTGATCATGCCCAGTGAGTATATGGGTAGTCTTCTTCCTCTTCCTTTTCCTCTTCCTTTTCCTCCTCCTCTTCTTCCTCATCCTTTTTCTTTAGGGTAGAGATCACATGGGTGGAGCAAACCTTGGAAGATCTGGAAGCAAGTGTGATCAGGCTGCATCAAAAAAAAGGAAAGAAAAAGAAACATTTTCCATATGGAAGTTCATGTCAACAAAGGTCATGTTGATGTCTGTGGTCTGTTCTGCCACTAGAAGCCATGTCTGTAGTCCTTGATGATGTTGGAGGCATAACTGTTGTCCATGATCTATATTGCCAGCAAAAACTGTGCTTCAACCAGCAACCATGTTAATGTCTGTGATCTGTAATGTCAATCAATCTGTGTTGCCTTTATAGCTGTCTGTTATGGTCAAGGAAGTTTCTTTTGCAGTGATATCAATGACTACAGACACATAACAGAAAATTATGAAGGCCTCTGTGATAATCCCTCTCCAAAGAAACAGTCCAGAAAGGAAGCTATTGAAGTGAGTCTTTTAAAAGTGTGAAAAATATGTTGAAGTAGAGCTCTTTACATATTATGGCTTCTGGCAGAGGGGTGGGGAACTACATAGTTTTCTTTAAGGGGCTGGCCACTTGGAGTTTTACCATGCTCCAGTGAGTATCTGGGAAACACTTATTAGACTTGGTGTTTTTATTATCTTTTCTCTTCTTTACTTTTCTTTTTGTTGTGAGAAAGAGATGATGCAAGTGTGGTCCTAGAAAGAATGGGGAACAAGTGTGGCCAGGGAGCATGGTATGAAACTTCCAAATAATTAATAAAAATATGTGGAGGAAAAAAGAAACATTTTCAAACATGATTTCATAGAAAACAAATATAAGTACATTCAGTGTTTGAAGTTAATATTCTATTTAAATGAAGCAGAAAGTATCGATCTAAGATATTGAAAAGCATGTCAAGAATCCTGGCGACAAACTGAATAAATTCTTACTTAAAAATATTACAGAAACTTCACTACACTCATGAAATAATCCCAATTTTAAATATTTGACTAAGCTAACAAAACTTACTTAATGAAATATTTTTGTTTTGGTATTTACAGCATTATTCATTGTACAAAATGACCATAGTCTGGAAAACAAATCAAAAGATACTATACAATGTGAATGGATAAGAAAATTATTGTAGCTTCAGCACTATAGAGGGATGCATTGTGCATATATATATATGCATTGAAATCAATGAGGCTAAAATTTATTTGGCAAGTTACATGTGGAGTTGAGGAGATGGCTCAGCATATATGAACATGTGCTTTGCAAGCATGAGGACCTGCTTTCAAATCTCCAGATCTCATATCAAAAGAAAAACATAATCATACACAGACTACTAAGCCTAGGACCATTGGATGAAAGAGACAACTTAATAGCTGGGGCTTTCTGGCAATCGGTCTAACTTTAGTTTTAAATCTCCTGTTTCACTGAATTAAGGTGGCACATGACTGAGTAAAGCACCAGATATCCTCCTCTTGTCTCTCTGCCACACATGGCCAAGTAGTTACACACATATGTGCTCATGACAAACACACACCTTCACACACACACACAAACACACTTGATGGTATCTTTAGAAAAATCTAAATCGTAGCATAACAAACTGTTCAATTGTTTCCAGTTTCTATGCCTAGGGTCTGATGTTGAATAAAGCAGATTCTAAGTCATTGATGAAAGAAGGGAGTAGAACTCTTCTGTGTTTTGTTGTTTGTAGTTGATATCTGTATATGTTTTCATACACAGGATTCTAAACCAAGCAACTAGAATCAGGAAATTTATTCTATATCCATCCTACCATTTCTAAAAGTGAAAATATTACAAGGTTTTAAAAAGCAAATCCAATAAATAATATCTCTACCTTTCAAATTTCCACTGGCTTCTCAGTTAAGTATGAATCGAAGCCAAACCCTCTCCTCTTCCACCTATCATTCCTCCACTTAGTCATGAACTTCCAGCCATACTGGACTCCTATTCTTTCTTAGACACATCAAAAAATATTTCAGCCCCAGAGATTTTGAATTTGCAATTTAGGCCTGAACATGCAGAACCCAAATAGCTTCAAGCCTTGCTCATATAGTTCGTTTCATTCTTTCTTCACATGTCAAATCCTCAGGAAACCCTGATTTTCTGATGTAACCATTTCCTCCTGATACTCTACATGTCTCTTCCATGTTTCCACTACACAGAAGCTATCACCATCAGGGACCTTAAATGTTTTACCTGCTTATTTATGTTTAATCTTCTCTCTCTGCCCACTTGGCTGTGATATAAAATGAGGATAACGAAGTTTCCAAATTTGATTTTCCTTCTGTTCTATTTAGATCACTACCCATCACATAGTAGGTACTCAACCAATTTGTGTTGAATAAATTAATGAATTAACAAGTCAAGATATTACAAAAGATACTAATGAAATATGAAAGAATTAAATTTTTAAGGCACCACATTTTTGGAGATAGAGGAAAATGATAATATGCTTGAAATTTATTAGAGGAGAAATAAGCAGTATACAGGTTTGAGAAAAACAATAAAATAAAACATCTCCAAAAAGCCAATTTGATGACTCTGTGGAGATTAAAGATGAATAGGGTGAGTATGGGATAGGATTCGTAGAGACTAGTTCAGTATCCTTTTCTGCCCTCTATATGAAAAAGTAGCCATGTGACCTAAATCAACCTGTGTTGCTTCCATTCCGTAGGTATTCAGGAGCCTCCTGTGATTGATCTCTCCTTCTGTTCACTAAGAACTCCATTTGCATTCATTTCCTAATGCCAAATATGAATCTATGCTTATTGATTAGGTAGTCTTTAAAATGTTTCCCTTGGCTCTTTCAAATCTCATCATTTGCTCTGCTGGGAAAGAGAACATATCTTTTATTCTGTAAGTGCCCCTCTACACCACAAAGTACTCTATTTAGCAATGAGTATGGAGTTCAAATATAATAGTATGTTTTAACCAGATAGAGGGTTAAGGTAATATTTAAGACATTCCCCAGGTTTGGCCTGTCCCATCATGATCATAGAAGGCTCATTTCTTTCATTCATTTTTCTTCGTGTGTGTGTGTGTGTGTGTGTCTTTAATCAGTACAGAATACCTTTGCTGGCTGTTCTTCACACAAGTCTTTTTTCACATTGAAGGTAATATTAAGGTTTGAAGGTTTGAAGAAGATGAATGCAGAATCCAGAACCATTTGGAAATCTAAAAGGTAAGAAAATCAAGTTGCCTCTCTCATGAATGAATTTTCAAATGTTACATGCCTTGTTACATTACATAGATTGCGTAGAGGTAGAAATTTGATAGATACCAACTCAGGAAGAAAAAAAAATCTGGAATCTATCATTTCATTTCTAATTGACAGTGGATTGGAACCAAATGCTCTCTGATCCAGTTACATTTGTCATTTTTGGATGCCTTTTTATTGGCATAAGACCTATAAACACCAGCCGGTCATGATTAGAAGCTTGTGAACTGGAAGACTTTCAGTTTGCAGTTAACTCTGAGGCTTAGAGATCCAGCCAGTAACAGAATGCCTCATGGAGCACTAACTGATCTAGTAACTTCATCTTGCACCCTCTAGCATTGTCTGACAAACAGCCTCCTCTGCAGAAGTGGGTGATTCATATTAAGTACAATTGTATGCAAAAATTTAGCATTTAGAAAGCCTGGCAGATAAAAAAGCTCCCACATCATTGTTTCGGGAGGAAGCAGATTGTAAAAATCAAATGACCCCAGAAAGAAGCAGTTTTTCCTTTGCTCTTCTGAATAGGCAGTATCTGAGAAGCCAAATGTGAATAAGAATTAGCCTAGAAATTAGCATTTCAAAATTAGATAAACTCTGCAGGTTATCCAATTAGATATAGCTCCTAGTTTATATGCATAAAGAAAAACAGTCACCCAGAAAAGATTTACTGTGTGTTCACAGTGTGCCAAAGAATGTGCTTGGCACTACTGAGAAAGCACAGTGCTTATGCTATCAAGGGTTAGAATAGTTCAAGTAAGATTAAAGTGCAAACTCCATAGAGCTAAATGTATGTAAAAACACTTTATGTAGAAGAAGTGAGACCTAATCAAAATAAGAGAAGCATATCTCTGCTTACCTGAGCTGTCAAAGATTTGGAGAATTCTACCCTAAGATGTATAATGAAACTCTACTGACCCACATTTGAGGGCCACAAACAATTGTTTTACTTGACATCTTAGGCTGAGACTCTTTTTTTAAGGACTGGATGAATTTTAGGACAACTTCCCAGTTCCTATTTCAGTGCTTAAGAATGATTTTTTTCCAGACAGCCAATAGACATGCACAAGTAAACTACTTAAATTACTTCCTTTATGTTAACAACACTTACTGTTACAGGTTATGAGTGAGGAGAGTTGGGAGAGGAAGTCAATATTAAAGTGCTTGTAAATAACCTAAGCATCAGTATTCACTATTTTGTATTATAAAACAAGTACTGACATTATTATTCTACATGTTGGACTCTCTGACAAGTTCATGAAGCATATGAAACACATCATAATTGAAGAACCATGAGTAATGAGTCTCATCAGAACTACTGCATCTGGCTATTTGCTGTTAATGATTTTTCGAGAATAAGAATTGTTCTTTGAAATGTAAAGTAATTATTTTCAGGGATTATACAGATATCCTTTCTTAAAATACACACACACACACACACACACACACACATACACAAGCATACTTTTAATGCTACTTGTATCTCAGTGACCTATAGAGTGGTGAAGTAAAGCAAGGCATGTTTATACATTTGTGGTACTGGAATACTTATCAGCAATGCAAGGCTGTGGGCTGTCACCCGGCCCTGAGGCATGAATCTCTGGTGGTCATTTTAGTGCCTGTGTAACTCAAAAAGGCTGTGGACTTAAACTGAAATTTTAAAATGATTAGTCCACATTTGCCACTAAAGTAATTGCTCCAACTATTATAAGGGGACAACTGAGAGCATAAAGTCCCCAAATGACTTACCCCATATACTGTGGAAAGCCCAACAAAGCTTCAGCAGGGAAGCGAGTAATATTTAACTTCCTCATTCAAGTTGCCTACTACCTGAAAGCTCAGATAGAAATACAGTTCTAGGGGGAACAGCGGATAATGAGCTCCCATGAATATAGCTTGAGTAGTTCTAAATAAGACTTGGTTTTAATTCCACGAGGGAAGCATCAAGGGAAACACACATCTTTAGTAGGCCACAAGTAAAGCATAGGAATGACTGCATGTATCTACATCCAGTACATGAAAGTTGTTAGAGACGTATTAAAACAGTTTTCTTACTTAAGCACTGGCCAAATTTTAGAGAATAATCAAAGCCTAAAATAGTTGCCAAGAAGTTGTATGAGTTCATTTCACGAATAAGCTTCTGGCTACAAATATTGATGAAACTCAACTAAAAGTATAGTTTCACTGATGGTGTTACAAAGATCATAGCTGATACACTGCCATAAAGTTAATTTAAGTGATTAATTGGTTTTTTTAAACAGTATAGTTAGGACACATCTCAGAAATAGGATTATGCTATTCAGTGACATGAAGAAATTGAGTCACAGAGGACTTGTGACTTTTCCAGCTGACACAATAGTTGGTGACATTTCAACAAAGTATGAAGAATTTTCATGGACTGTAATTTATTTTGTTGTCCTAACAAATCTTTATGTAAGTCAGTATAGTTTACATTTTCTTTTTCTTTTTTTACCATACTGACTAGGTTTTCATTCATGCATTCAATTTCTTAAAATATAACTGATGTTGGGCATAGTGGCATTTGCCTTTAATTCTAGCACACAGGAAGCAGTAGCAAGCAGACCTCTGTGAGTTCAAAGGCAGCCTGGTCTCTATCAGAAAGAAAGGTTGTGGCTGCAGGGAAGCAATGGGTTGGGGACAGAGTACAGGAGCAGAGTCCTGGATGGAGAGGGGGGGG